GCCAGACTGGCTGGTCGCAGTGGTCCCTTCTGGCCGTGGAATCTGCGGATCTATGAAAGTTCCCCTCTCCATGTTCAGTCGACTCACAGTCCTTCCCTGGCCATACCCCTGACAGGGGTCACTGCCTTTCCCAAAGGGGGAATCCGACTCTCACAGCTCCACAAGCAGAGCTTTATTTGTGGGGAAAGCCAGGGAAATGCCTCTCTGAGCGATCTCTTAACATTAAGTAACTTCCCAGCCTGCGTAACCATAGTCGCTGCCCCACAGTACCCTGCATTCCACAGCCATCAGGGTTCTATTCAGTAGGGAGCCTCCACTTCCCCCATCCCTCTGGCTGTTCCTGGACTAGGATTCTGGCAGGGGTCGGGGGAGAGTGATGTTTTACAGGGCAGCGTGAAATGTGTTTGTGCAGCTGCAGTGAACAGGGAGGAGGTGGGAGGGAGCACAAAGGCTGAGAAACATGAGAATTCTCCAGGCTCACCGACTTGCTTCCTCTTTTGTAGATCACTGTGTGGACTTTCTGAATCACTCTAACGTGGAGAACTGGACAGCGCCTGCTAATGCCACCTCCCCAGTTACTGAGTTCTGGGAGTACGTACCCCGGTTTCACACTCTTCTCTCCTCAAGCGGTCACAGCAGTGTGAATACTCCAAATGGAGTCTCTGTAAGGCCAAAAAAGATGTGCAAGTGCCACATCTCGGAACCCAGACCTCTGGCACGTCGCACATCATGGGACACATGAGCACACTCACTGCACATGCAAACTTGCATACTGACTGGGCCCACTGACTGACAGAAATCCATGGGGCACGTGGGCACTCCCAAGACACATGCTGTCTCATCCCATGCACCACATAGCCCCAGAGGTCAGACATTGACCCTTACCAAGAACACATGCACATACGCACACGGACACATTCTTTCTGACATGGCAGATGCACTCAGCACCCGCAGGTTGTGGATACACAGGGCCTGACCACATGTTGGCAGGGCCGCCCTGACAGACACCCAGCGGGCACGCATGTACGCACACCAAGTGTGATGATCTATCTAGAGCAGGAGGCCAGGTGGGAGGGGGCTGGAAGAGATTCTGCAAAGATGCTCTGCGGTGAAGCAGGAAGAGACAAAGTAGCTTTTCCCCTTATTCTAATTGAGTTCCTTGTTCAGTGTTAGAGGAAAGCAACTTTTTCTGTGATTCTTTACTGCTGGGTACCTAATGCACCCCGTGAAACCACCCAGAGGGCAAACAGACGTAGCACCCGAGAGGAGTCCTGAAAGGAGAAATGCTGCAGAATACACTGTAGGGAATCATCCAGCACTGGCCCTCAGGGGGCGTGAACAATATGGGAGTTGTAATTCTAAGGACTCGCACTCACAGTCGTGCCCCCTCCCAATCTAGGGAAGTCATGGGAAGCAAGTGGGAATCAGGGGCTCAATCACAATAGCACGTTTTCATCCATC